TTGTCGGTATTTTCTATTTGATTACAAAAAAGCGTTTTTGGGATCAGGCAGGCCATGGACTTGCTAGTGTTGGCTTTTTATATCTAACAGGAGTTTTGATTACAGGACCAATTTGGGCAAAACCCATTTGGGGAACCTGGTGGGTTTGGGAACCTCGTCTAACGACAACATTATTACTCTGGTTACTGTATGGAGCTTACCACCTGTTACGCATGGCGCGTGGTAATGACGGTTGGACTGCTAGGGCCAGCGCCATTTTAGCAATTTTTGCCTTTGCCGATATACCTATTATTCATTTATCTGTTCTGTGGTGGCGAAGTTTACATCCTTTTCCTGTAGTCTTACGCAAGGGAGATTTTGGCGGTGGACTGGCTCCAGAAATGATAACGCCTCTACTATTGATGCTCCTGTTTTTAACTGTATTGGGTTTTGGGCTAGCAGCATTACGTACTCAGAATCGTATAATTCAAGATCGCACTGAAGGGTATAACTTGTGACATATGCTATTGCTGCCTATGGTTCTTTTTTTCTTATACTTGCTATTTATATCGCCAGTATCGTCCGAAGTAAACAGCAGTATCTAAAAAATGATGAACAGCATTTTTCTTCTGAACAATCTTCTAAGAGAGTACACGACTCATGAATCCATTCCAGACAGGAACAATAGGGCTAGGAGTCTCCATTTTTCTCAGCGTCGTTGCAATTATTGCTGGAATCGGAGGCTTTTTACGTCAAGATAAACGTTGGGAACAAGCTGCGGTACGTTCTGTTATTGCCAATGGTATCGTTCTAACAATTTGTTCAGCTATTTTAGTAACTGCATTTTTACTTGATCGCTTTGATGTGCAATATGTTGCATATAACTCTCGAAAGAGCATGCCCCTCTTTTATAAATTTAGTGCTTTTTGGGGGAGTCTTGATGGCAGTATGTTACTTTGGGGATGGCTTGTCGCTATTTTTGGTGCTGTGGCTATGTTGCGCCATAAACGTTCAGATACAGAACTATTACCATTAGTAGCTGCTGTTATTAGCAGCGTTTTACTTTTTTTCATTACAGTTATTTTATTAACAACCAATCCTTTTAAACCATTAATAGATAGCAGTGGTGTTGCATTTACTCCACCTGATGGCTTAGGGTTAAATCCGTTATTACAAAACCCTGCAATGGTTTTACATCCGCCAACACTCTACTTAGGGTTTACCGGGTTTACAATTCCCTTTGCCTTTGCCATAGCTGCATTAATCTCTGGCCGTTTAGATTCAACTTGGATTCGAACAACCCGAATTTGGACACTGGTTGCCTGGGGGTTTCTAACATTAGGAAATATCTTAGGTGCGAACTGGGCTTATGTTGAATTAGGTTGGGGGGGCTATTGGGGATGGGACCCTGTCGAAAATAGTGCGCTAATGCCTTGGTTTACAGGAACAGCCTTCTTGCATTCTGTCATGATTCAAGAAAAAAAGAACATGTTAAAAATTTGGAATGTACTTTTAGTTCTTTTAACGTACTGGTTAACAATATTCGGTACATTTTTACACGTAGTGGCATTGTCTCAAGTGTTCATGCTTTTTCAGATAGTAACATTGGCCCCTTATTTTTAATTTATCTAGGGGTAACAGTTGTTATCGGTCTCGGATTACTTTATTGGCGTTTACCAGTCTTAACAACCAGCCCAAAACTACGTAGTCCTATTAGCCGCGAAGGCGCCTTTATTTTTAATAATGTGTTGCTATTCGGGCTGATGTTTGCAACATTTTGGGGCACCGTCTTTCCTGTCTTAAACGAGTTAGTTACGGGACAAAAAATTACAATTGGTGCACCTTTTTTTAATCGTATCAATGCACCATTAGGCGTTGGCTTACTTGTATTGTTGGCAGTAGGGCCTGTAGCCTCTTGGGGAAAAATGACTTGGTCTACCGTAAAGCGTCATTTAGGCTTGCCTTTTTTGATAGCCATTTTTTGTGGCTTCGTAATTCTATTGTTAGGAATTCGTGAACCTTATGCAGTTTTCATTTATATCTTTGCCTTATTTGCTACCTTAATCATTATTTTAGAACTTTGGCGTGGCAGTTTGGCACGGTCTCGCCAGCTTGCAGAATCTCGTTTAACATCACTAATAAATTTAATTGCACGTAATCGGCGACGCTATGGTGGATATATAGTTCATATTGGAGTCATTCTTATTTTTATTGGTATTACCGGTAACTTTTTTGCCCAACAGGATCAAGTCTCCTTACGTCCTGGAGAGTCAGCACAATTTGCTGGTTACGATATAAGACTTAAATCAATAACGATACGTAATAGACCTGATTACGCAAGTCAAACAGCACTTTTTGATGTTGTTCGCCAAGATGGCGACAGTCTTCAAATGTGGCCTGAAAAACGTCAATACCTAGGTGCTCGTGAAGAAACAAGTACAGAAGTTGCAATTTGGTCTAATTTAGCAGCAGACCTGTATCTTATTTTTCTGAGTGAAGACCCCCAAAGTGGAATCGGTGTTTTTAGATTTCACCTTAACCCCTTAGTCATGTGGATTTGGATCGGTGGCGCTGTGATGCTTTTCGGTATGTTAGTTGCTTTGGGGAAGAACAGAACAACAGTAAAAAAATAGAATAATACCAATCATGGACAATGGTGATCTTTTAGAACATATTAGGCTTGTTCCCGACTTTCCCAAACCAGGAATTATGTTTTATGACATAACCACACTACTGCAACAACCATACGCATTTAAAGAGACCATAGAACGCATCGCAAATAGTTGGAAAAATGCGAAAATAGATACGCTCGTTGCAATTGATGCCAGAGGGTTTCTGCTCGGTAGTGCTCTAGCCTATAAACTTGGCGTTGGACTTACCTTAGTACGCAAAGCCAATAAATTACCTTTTAAAACAATATCGACAACCTACGATTTAGAATATGCCAGCGCTACACTAGAAATGCATGTCGATGCTTGTCAACCAGGGCAGCGTGTTCTAATTGTCGACGACCTATTAGCAACAGGTGGAACAGTCGCCGCAACAATTAAGCTTGTCAAACAATATCATGCACAGATTATCGGTTGTTCCTTTCTACTTGAATTAATGGCACTCAATGGTCGGGAACAGTTGGGGGACCTACAAGTCAAATCCTTAATTCAAATTGAAGCATAACCAATAAAATAGCCTAAACATAATGCCTAATGCCCTTGTAGCTCATCAGGATAGAGCGATCGCCTCCTAAGCGATAGGTAGCAGGTTCGAGTCCTGCCAAGGGCAATAATTTCCTGACCAGAATAGTTTTGTAGATAAAGACACTAAATAGAAAGCCAATCTTAGGTATAAAAAAGTAAAAATTAAGTAGAAACCATTGTTCAGTTTGGAATATAATAATAAAGTCGTTACGCTACAAGAAAATGTTTAAGGACTAAGGAATAATGACAATGAGGAATTTAAAAGAGCCAACAAATCTTTGGAGACGCAAAAGTTTTATTGTTATATTTCTTTGCATGGCGGCAAAGCCAGCAACCGGCCTTGCGCCAATGGATACGAGTTATTGTAACGCTCCTTACTTTGCCAATGCTGGAACATTACAAAAACCAAATGTTACCTTTCTACTAGATACATCAGGATCTATGGGGTCCCGAGCACATGCATTTGAACCTTATATTTTTCAACCGCAAGTTACGTATACAGGAACATTTGACCCCACTAGATGCTATCGTTGGAGCAGCCATAGCAATTATGAGGACCGTCGTTTTGAAACAACAATAGATGCCAGTACTAAAGTTCAAGCCGATGGCTCTTGTGATGAATTGACCAATGGTGGTTATGCTTTTTCTGGCAACTTTATGAACTATGCTTATATGACACGTTTAGAACTTGTCCAGCATGTTCTAACGGGTGCCAAATGGGATGCTACACGAAGAGTGCAAGAATTGGAGCGAGATAACTTTGGGAAGTTTAGAGACTGCTTTGATCCTTCCCCATATACTGATTTGCCATCTAGTCCAGCAGTTCATATCGACCGTTCTCAACGTCGTTCAGGTCAAAAACTACCATACCATGTAGCCGATGGGATGTTTATCGAGTTACGTAGCATGCCGACCTGTGATCCAAGCCTCTATGAAAGTGCAACTAATGGAAACCCTGATCAATATCCTGTAACCCATCCAAATGTCCATGTAAGCTCAATTGATGTTTTTGTAAAAAATGGTAACGGTATCCAATGTCGTAGAGACGATCTATTTGGTAATACATGTAACCCCAATCCTGGAGCCTTACGTATTGATTCTCCCGAAAACCCCCAAGGTGTTATTCAGGATCTTGCTCCCGAATCTCGGTTAGGGCTAGCAACTTTTGGGGGAGACGCACGGGGTGGCCGTTGGCGCCACTATTTAGGACAACCTGTTAATGATATGGTTACAAAGATTCGTGATTTAAGACCCAATGGTGCAACATCAACATTAGAAAGTTTTATTACGGTTATTCAACTACATCGTTTTAAAGCACCTATTTTTCGGGGTAGTGATGAGTTTGAGTTGATTCATGACCCGAATGGTTTTTCAACTGATCCTTATTTTGAATGGGAAGGTAGTAAACAGTATGTACCTTGTCGTCAAACATTTGTTGTGACGATGACTGACGGAGAACCTAATGAAGATATGGGTTATTACTTAAGTATGCCTGATAGTGACCTTCATACATATACAGCAGACCCTGATTATCTAGCCTACATTGGAGAGTTTGGTCTAAGTATTACCGATACTGATGGTGATGGACACGAAGCGTTTGTCAAATTACAAATGTACCCCAATGGCAGTAACATTGGCCCTGGCGATGGTGTAACCTTTAAGCATTCTGGAGAACCTAATCTTGCCATTCCTCAATGGCCTCCAGCTGCTTATCCTAGCTGGGGCCACCCTGCAGAAAGGCCTGTACATGATTTTTTAGATGATGCTGCCTACTATTTTCATACTGAAGATTTACGTCCCAATGATCCTAATATGGCAGGTAAGCAGACTATTACATCCTTTTTTGTCTATACGTTTAGTGCAACAGTTAACGCTAAATGGTTAATGTGGGCCAGCGCAATTAATGGAGCATTTGTCGAGAAGGATGGTATTCCTGGTCCTTCTGCACCTGAAGAATATGACGAGAATAACGATGGCGTTCCCGATGGCTTCTTCTTAGCAGAGCAAGGAGATCAAGTTGAAGAGACGTTACAAAGAACAGTATCTGCATTACGCAATCAAGCCTTTTCTGGTTCACCAGCAGTAGTCTTGTCTGGTGGAACACAAAATGAAGGTGTTGCCATTAGGTCCTTTCTAAAACCAGAATGGAAGAGTGATGACGGCTCCCTAACAACACGCTGGATTGGGTATCTAAATGGACTGTGGCTAGATAAATATGGAAACATACGTGCTGATGATAGTCGTGGGGTTGCTTCTGCCGATGGGCAGTTAGTCTTAGCAGAAGATTCAATTATCGAATATCAATACTCCGTTAGTGATGAAGAAACCTATGCTCTCTACTATCACGATGTCGATCCTAGCAATCCTAATGATCTACCCGATGGCCAAAAGTTTATCCTTCCCGGTACCAATGGGTGGCATAAAAAGACACTCGTCGAAGACGTCCCTGGCGTTCTAGATGCAGGTCGTAAACTCTGGGAACAAGATCCAGCAACACGAAAAATCTATACCCATACTAAAGCGTATACCAAAGATTCTAGCTCTAAGATAGCCTACGCAAAATTGGGCGCGACAGATCGATTAGATTTTACAGCAGGCAATGTCACCCACTTTACCAACCTAATGTTTGATCCAGATAATGCGAGTGATCCAGAAGTAACAACCCCAGCGGGGGAGTTAGAAGCCCAAGATCTAGTGAAGTATATCCGAGGAGAAGATAAGACAGGTTGGCGTCCACGGAAATATCGTATCAATGGAGTAGATAAGGTTTGGAAACTAGGAGATATTTTTAGAAGTACCCCAACAATAGTAAGAGAACCAGTAAGTCCCTGGAAAGAGAAATTTCCCGGTGAGTTTCCTGATTACACGGAGTTTTTAAAACGCGTAACAGGAGAAGCAGATATGGTTGTCGTTGGCGCCAATGATGGAGGTATTCATGCCTTTCATTTAGGAACCTTTAGAAATGTAGATCCAGACCAAACAGATTCACGAATAGTAGAAGCCTACTATGATTCAGGCTCCTCATATAGTGTAGGAGAAGAGCTGTGGATGTATATTCCGAAGCCAGCGTTAGGACAGCTAAAGTGGTTACCGACTTTAGACTATTGTCATACGTATTTTGCCGATGGAGAAGTACAAGTATTTCACGCTAACATTTTTCCAGATAACCTAGGAAGTATGCGAGGTAGTTCGCATTATAAAGGGTGGGGGACGATCTTGGTTGTAAATGGACGTGTCGGCTGTAAACCGATCAACACGCATCAAGAGAGATTGTATCCTTATATTTTAGTATTAGACATAACAGATCATGACAATCCAGTACCGATATTAGAATTAACAATCCCCGATGAAGTTACCACGACAAGCCTAGCAAATAAGGCAGGGTTTTTGAATGCGCCAGTGTTAGCAAGAACCCAAGCAGATACCAATAGTGGAACCCCATCCTCATTAGAGGATTCAAGTAAAGATTGTTGGTGGTTAATATTTGGAACAGGAGCGGAGAATTATGATCATTCGGATGCGGCTTCACCGAAGATATACATCCAGCATCTAGATGCCCGTCCGAGTGCAGCCAATAGTAGTTGTGTATTTAGTACGGTGAAGGAATTAGAGACAGATGCGTCGTTGAAAGTATCGAGATCGATCCCACGTTATTACGGAGATACGAGTATTAGTAAGGAATTTTTCATTAAGCCGTTAGCGTTGGATGTAGGTTATCCAAGAGATATGGCATCCTTAACGCCGCGTGTGAACTTTTCGACAGATGTGATTTATTTTCCGATGACATCGTTTGCAAGTAGTGGAGATCGTAAGGGACGGATCTTGCGAATGACGACGAATGGCTCGAGTCAGAATGAGAAGTATGGATCGGATCCAAATAATTGGGAGGTATCGCAGTTATTTGAGAGTTATGGTTCGTTTTCGGCGGAGTTAGCGCAGGTGGGGCGCGTAAATAGTTACAGTAATCAGTGGGAAGTACATTTATTTGGAGGAACGGGGCATTACTATACGTCGTCAGATGCATCGATGATGGATACGAATATGATATTTCGATTGAGGGATCCGTGTTGGGATAATGGTAGTTGTGATCCTGAGTCATCGAGTGCCCCGGCATTAACGAGTATAGGGCCGTCGGATCCAGGAAGATTAATAGACTGTTATTTGGATGAGCAGTCATTGGAGTTATCGTCGGGATGTAAGTTAGAGTCAGGGGGAGTGACGACACCGTATAGTGACATCTTGGAATTGACGAGGCGGATAGAGACGATAGGAAGTTGGCGAATAGAGTTTAGTGATCCGTTAGAGCGAGTGATCCATCCTCCGACGGCGTCGAGATTTGGGACAGGGGGAATAGCATTTACGTCATATATTCCGACGGGATCGGCGTGTGATTTAGCGGGCCGATCTAAGTTATGGATACTAGATCCAGAGATAGGATTAATTCAGAATGATCCGACGACGAGTTTGGTAGATGTAGTAGGTGAGGCACGGATAACGAGTGTAGGAAACAGTTTAATAGTGAGTCATAGTGGCGGATCTTCAGAGATAGAGGAGAATCCAGAGGCAGAGTCAAAGTTAAGTGGTATGCAGATTATTCAAAGGCCGGTAAAACTGAAATGAATATGTTGTTAAACATTCAGGTTGATCTTGTGCCAAGGTGCGGTGATTTAGGTTTTATGCAATGTTGTCGACAGTATAGACAGTGGATATATGATTTTAGGAGGTATAGCGATGGATAATTTACAACTAAGACCAACCGGTTGGAAGGTCAAAGCTATCCTAATGGTACTATTTGTCTGTGCAATTGCTCAGCCAGCTAGTGGGCTTTCGCCGATGGACCCAGCTTATTGTCATGTGCCGCCCTTTATTAGTAGTCAGGTAAGGCCGAACATTACATTTATCATCGATGACTCTGGTTCGATGCGAGCGGGCAGTTATACAGATTCAGGTGGGCCTATTGAAGAACGTACCTATCTGCCAGGTAGGGGGTATGTTGGTTATTTTGATAATACCAAATGTTATCGCTGGAGTAGCCAGGCTAACCATATGGATCGCCGTTTTGAAACAACAGATGGTGTTGCTACT